AATTGAAATTTTGACGAGAATTTAAAAAGATTTTTGAACATAATTGAACATAATTGAATTCCTGTTAAGAATTTTATTACTTTTGAAAATAATTGAATTTCTGCAATTATTCGTAATTTCTATAAAATTCTCCAAATTATAACGTACAATTTACAAACATTTCATCTTTTCTTAATCAAATTACGAAATTTACGGACATTTAAAAAAAATGACTTTTACGGACTTTTACGGGATTTACGGACCTAGTTCGAGCCCTGACCATTTTGTCCCTCAATAAATTATTCATTATTATTAAAAAATAAAAATTAAATATTAAAGAAAAGTTTATTTTCAATATTTTCATAGAAATAGCAATTAAAATCCAATTTGAATTTCAATTTTTGATTAGTAAAAACACAATTTCTCTAGTTTTTAGTTATAACACACTAAATGCATCGTTGCGTAATGGCCGCTTGGAAATTTTTTGTCATTAAGAATTGAAAATTCTTTTTTTTTTGTAATCTAATGCGACTAAAGCGACTCTTTTGTTCTATAGAATTGCTCCGAGGTGTGTCATCCTATTATCATCTTCATAGCAACAGAATCATTATTTTTTCTCTCCCTCCCCCTTTTTTTCTTCTTTCTTCGTATTTTTCTTTTTCCCCTTCTTCTATCTTTTCCTCTATCATTTTATCATCTACTTTTATTCCTTATTCTTAATCTTCATTTCTGAAGTATCATCCTCGTAATCAACTTTTTTCGTTTTTCTTTTCTTTTTCTTCCTTTTACCGCCGTTTCTTATCTTTTTTACAAAAGGGACTCTACAAAATAATTATCATTTTTTCCTTTTTATTATGTTGCTTGGGTTATGTCTACTGTTTTCTTTTATTTATCTTCTTTTCTAAACTGTGATCAATTCTTTTCTGTTTCTTCTTCTTCTGGAAAACAAGAATGTAAAAAAAACGTTTCTTTTGAAACGTATCTAAAATTTTATCTTAAATTGTATAATAAAACTTTTTTACTCTTTAACAAAACTTAATGTTTAAAATCATTCTGACATGTGTCGCAACTCTGGGAAAATTTACTCCGGATGTATAGTGAAAGTTGCAAAGCGCAGAAATTCGAGACAGTTGCTTTAGTAGTTTGTGAATAGTAATAATTCTTCTATACTTATTTCTTGTTTAAAAATTATTGTATCGTATTAGAATTCTAAAATTAGAATTATCTACCTTGCAGTTTTCGGAGGATGTTAAATTACTGATTGCTATGCATCGAAAGTTCTACTGATTCAGATTAATTTTTAAAATAGTTGTATCCGAACTTTCTTTCTCTTATTATACTTTTCAGCAATTTAATATTTCATGAAAATCTGTTAGGTAACAATTGACTGAAATTTTAAAACTCTTTATATTTTTTTTAAAATTGAAAATTCGTTGGATTTTATAGAAATACTTTTTAGAGTTATTTGGAAGTTTTAAATTAAATCTCTTTATACTACAGGGTTGCCACAAATATTTAATTTTGTTTTTCCCTGATTATTACTTAATTTCAAACTTTATAAAATACTTACGAACTTTAATAAAATTTTGAGTTATTCCACAAACCGGTTTTTGAGATTTAGTAGTCTCAATATCAATTTTTTCCATTTCGACACGTTTTCTCATAAAATGTAGAATATTTATTAAAATTTCCACTCAACTTATTGAAATCTCTTAAAAATCTTCTTCCAGTATATGAAATTTTATAAAAGTATTTTTCAATTTAAATATTCCTGAGGTTAGAGTCGACATTACACTACAAGAAAAAATATTTTTATTCAAATAACCACGTATACTTGTCTATTATCAAATAATAATTATTAACTTGAATCAAATAATATTTATTTAAATCAATTAAATAGTACACACATTACAAGTTATATCTGAAATAGATTTCGTTAAAATTACCAAAGAAAAATAATAAAAGTATATTTTTCGACTCAAAAGTAAAATTTTTCTATTTTTCTTCTACGAATTTCTATTTTCCTTCTTTTTTTTTATCAAAAACACCAGTTATGCATTTTGGTCCATTATCATTCTTACTGGAATGTGGATTGGTATGCCCATCGAAACAACCAAAGGATCCATGTATGGAGCGACCAATAATGTGGGGATAATGCCGTTAATACTCCCGCTAATGCGTTTAATTTTCGACGCATTATGGATCTCAATTTCGAGCGCAAAGCGCCAGTTATACGCGCGTTTAAAGAACAAAAAAAAAAATTTTACGCGAAATTAATTTTTACTACATCATAAAAAATTCTCCCTTTAGAAACCATAAAAAATATATTTCATGTTACACGCGCGAAGAAATTTTATGAGAATGTATACTTAATTCTTTATAAATTAAAAAAAGAAAAAAAAATAAAATGGAAAAATTTTATAAAAGAATTTTTCATTCGCACCTAAAAAATTTATTTCTTTAAAATGTACCACTGTACTGTATATCGATCTGTTGAATATTTCAAGAATCTAGAAATCACTTCTGTGATTATTTTTACCATCTTCCGATTCTCGTTACCTGATGAACCGATTTTGTTTTACCTGCCGTCGGTATTTTACTTTAGGATTATTTTTGATATTTTAGTTCAAAAAATTGAATATAAAAATTTATGTATTCAAATACTTAACTTCCGTTTCATTTTTCAAATTCTTAATTTAAATAAAAAAATTACTTTTCAAAATTTTGCGCTGAAAAATTTTTTTTTTAAACAACTATTTGAAATTATTAAATAAATATTTTCTGGAATCAAATAATTTTTATATATAAACTAAATAAAATTTATTTTAACCAATACTTTTTGTTTTTAAATCCAACAAAAGTTAATTTAAAGATATTTTAATTTAATTGAAAACATCATTTAATTTTAAAATACGAGAAAAGTCATTTGACACTAATAAATGTTTATTTGATCTAAATTCATATTTATTTAATAATAAACAAGTTTTCATTAATTATTTTCTTAGTAATATCAAAAAATGTAAAATTCGAAAAAATGGAAATTTGAACCTTAAACCAAAAAGAAATGTTTTATTTGAACTAAGTATAATATATTTGTGTTAAATAAATGTAAATTTGTCTCAAAGACATCTTATTTGTTCCAAATAAAAATTGTATTGTTAGAAAAAAATTTTCTTTGGCAAAAATAATTTATTTATTCATAATTTATTTGAAACAAAAAAATTTATTTGAACCACATAATACATAATTGATTTATTAAATATTAATTCAGACTGACCCAAAGAACAAGTAATTGAATTGAACAAAACAAACATTTGTTTGAATTGAACGAAATAATATTTATTTTAACCAAGTACAATAATTTTGAACCAAATAAAATATATTTGAATAATTTCATTAAATAATAACTAAACAGTATTTCTTTGAACCTAATATTATTTATTTGAATGATTAAAATTTATTAAAATGAACCAAATAATATTTATATGACCCAAATAACATTTATTTAAACTAACAATAATATATTTGGACCAATAATATTTATTTAAATTGGAAAAAATTATATTTATTTGATCCAAATACAATATACCTACTTAACATAAATAAAATTTATTTGAATTGAAACAAATAATATTCATTTGAACCAAATTCAATAAATATGAACCAAACAGAATTTATTTTAATAATCTAATTAAATAATAACGAAATAATGTTTAGTTGAACTGAATAAAATTTATTTAATTTTAAATTGATCCAAATAATATTTCTGTGAAGTGAACCAAATAAAATTTAATTCAATAGAACTAAATAATATTTATTTGAAACAAACACAATAAATTTGAATCAAACAACATTTATTTCAACAATTAAATTGAATAATAATCAAATCAAATTTATTTGCATTGAACCAAATAATATTTAATTGAATCAAGTAAATTTTATTTCAATAATTTAATTGAATAATTACCAAAGAATATTTATTTAAATCAAATATAATATTTGATTGAACCAAGTAAATTTTATTTCAAAAATTTAGTTGAATAATTACTAAATAATGTTTATTTTAATTAAATAAAATTTACTTAAACTGATTCAAATAATATTTATTTGAACTAAATACAATTTTTTTAAATTGAACCAAAAAAAATTCATTTGAACTGAATGAAATATTATTCATTTGAACCAAATAAAATTTGAATTAAATCAAATAATATTTTCTTGACCCAAATATAATTTAATTCAAATGAACCAAATAAAATTTATTTGAATTGAACCAAATTAATTTGTATTTAAATAATTTAATTGAATAATAACCAAAGAATATTTATTTCAATCAAGTAAAATTTATCTAAATTCAACCAAATAATATTTATTTTAACTGAACCAAATAATATTTATTTCATTCAAATTAAATTTATTTAAACTGAACCAAATAATATTTCTGCGAACCGAATAATACTTATTTTAAACAAATATAATAAATTTCTTAACCAAATAAATTTTATTTGAATCATTAAAATTTATTTAAATTTAACCAAATACAATATATTTATTTATTTGAACATAAACATATTTATTTATTTGGACCAATGAAATTTATTCGAATTTAGCAATCAATCCAATTAAAATTTTCTATTCTTCTTCCCTGCCTCCTTTTTTTATTTCTTCTAAATAGATAATTTCACATTATATCCGCAAAAATATTTAAAAAAATAAAAAACTAAAAACCACAATTTTCCAAAAGAAAAAAAAAAGGAATCCCCTTTTTTCTCTCTCGGTCTCTATTTAAAATCACATTATTTGGGGGGAAATTTGGCGAAAAACTAGAGAGCATTTTTACAGAGTAAACGTAAATGCAGTGTAATACGATCAAAGGAGGAGAGGATCCTTGGATCCTTTTGATGGTGCTCCGGCGAGGATGTGGCAACAACGGGCAACCAATGATCTTGTGGGAGCACTGGCCAGAAGAAGAAAAAGTCTAAAGCTAAACACCTGAGAGAAGAGAGCCGCCGAGAGTGAGTCTGGTTTTCGAGAGAACAGTGAACAGGAATATTTTTCGACTCTTTAATTTCCTTCCGCGTTCATGACTTAAAATATCACACATCACGTATCATTTCAAACCGGTATAATAGCGCTCTCACACAATCTCATAATCGTGATTCACTCTTTGTTGACACTAATTCGATTTGTTGTGATTTCATCGAAAATTTTACTTTTCGCTAAATCACACACACACACACACGTATATATCTATATAACGTTGAAACGTTTTTATTATATATAGAGACTCTTCAAAAGTATATTCTCAAACATTTCTCCTCGCGTACAGTTGTGTTCTCGCGCTCCGAAAAATCAGGCAAAAATTATTCGGTTTTGAAGGAAAAAAGGAAAAGAAATTGTTTATTATTTTATTGTATGTCTTGTGTTTGGAATTTTATTTTCGTTAAATTTTCTGAATTCAAAATTTTAATAAAAGTTTTTTGTAACTTTAGAAGTTTGTTGTTTAAATATTGCTTGAAAACGCTCGAATGAAATCGTTTATTGAAAAGTGTAAAACGTGTTTGACAAGTCTGCTCAGTACCTGGGGATAGGGTTTTATGGAGTTATTAATGGACTAAAGGTAAATATTTTACGAAAGATCTTTTAATAGTTCATTTAATAGAACTATAAATTAATTTAAAAGTTTAGAAAATTTTTTTTTTAATATTTAACTTTGTTGAGATTTTTTCCTTTTAGTAGATAAGTTGCAATAATCATAAAACATTTCACTATAACTGCTAAATGTCTAAACGTCTAAAGTTTAAAAAATTTTAAATTTACTATTACATTAAATTGTTGAATTTAAAAAATAAATCTTTATATTGAAGAAACATTTATTTGACTCAAATAAACGTTACTTTTCTCTTATCGAATAAATGTTTATCTAATTTTTATCATTAATGTCAATTACAGTCAATTAAATGATAGTTGCTTTAAATATAGAAATTATTGGTTCAAATAAATTAAATTTAAATAAAAATTATATGATTCAAGTACTTATTTGATAATAAACTTATTATCAAATAAATATTTGAATCAAATAAAATAAGTACTTGAATAATCGGTTATTTAAATCAAATTCTTTTTCAGTAAATTTATTTTTAATAATTATAATTTTTTAATATTTGTACTATTACCAATTTCTATTTAAACGTTATAAAAAATTAATTATATTCGCTGAAAGTTTAATTTTATTTAAAGAATAGTTGAAAGAATTTACAAGAAAACAAAATAATTAATAAAATAAGCAAAGTAGTTATTAAATATTAATAAATAATTAAATTATTACTCACAATTTTATAAACAAAATAAATAAGAAATATTTATTTATTTAGAAATAATAAATTCCTATACATAATTATAAATAAAAATAAAAAAAATAAACATAAATAAATATAATTTATAATAAATGCTGTTGCAGTATAATCAAATTTTTCTAAAAATAAATACTAGCAAATACAAATTGAAGATAATTCAATGTCATTTATTTTGCAAGTTTATCATTCTTGAAGAATATCAAGACACATGTACTTTCAGTTTACAATCGTAATTTATTAAAATTAAGGTAGGTCGTCTGCAATGATCCTTACCAAAATTTATAATAAATACAATTTGGAAAGATTTCAAGTAATGTAAATTTATTTTTTATTTATTATTTATCATTGTGTTTACTAAGATAGAAGAATATATAAAATTTGCAAGCATTGCTATTGAATTTTTCAATTCTTTAAGTTAAAGGTTTTCTACTTTTTTACAAATCCATATACACGTAAATAAATAAAAAAAAAAATTATTACTCAACTAATTCAAATTTTTTAAAAATTTCGTGAAATTAATTCCTTTTTTAAATATAAATAAATACATAATAATAATAACTAAATTAATTCAGTAATTTATTCAGTAATGACTATTTTAATAAATTAAAATCATAATTAATAAGTTGATATTTTTATTATCGCGTTTTAAATTTGAATATTATTACGAAATATAGTTTTTCATTTTTCATAAATTATTTTATAAATAAGTAAATAATTAATTTGCATTATGCTCCATTTCATTAGAGTAACTTTTCAAAACATTTGAGCATAAAAAAAAATTCATTCATTTGAACATTCAAAACTTTAGGGAAATAGTATTTTGATAAATTAATGATAAATATTAAAATAGTAGATATTGAAAATCATTGAAATTAGAAAAATTTTTGAAAATAATTAAATTAGGACAAGAATTTTTTTGCCATTTACGAAAATAATTGAACTTTGGAGAAGAATTTTGTTATTTATAAAGATAATTGGGATTTTTACGAGAATTTTTTACAAATTTTGAACACAGTTGAATTTTATTTATTTATTTATTTTTTTTAAATGATTGAATTTCTGAAATTATTTGTAATTTCTCCAAAATTGAATTTTTTTAGTGTTTTCAACAAAAATTTAAATTTTTAAATTCCATTATTTTTAAAATTGCTAATTTAATTAAAGAAAGGCAGGAAGAAGTTAGCCGCGCGAATTGTTACTATTTAATTTATAATTAACATTTTGACGAATTAAAATAATTATTAATCTCAAAATATGAATTAGTAGATTTCTACTAATTAAAGAATTGCGGATTCCTTTACTAGCTATTCAAATAGACAGAATTTTACTAATTTTTAGTAGAACACAAATAATAAAAAATAATAATAATAATAATAATAATAATAATAATAATAATAATAATAATAATAATAATAATAATAATAATAATAATACAAAATAATAAAAAACTAATCAAGCAATGATTAATTATAAAAATAATAGTTTTTTTTACTACAAATTGTAAATTGTTATTAATTTCTATTTTTATTCATTTTTATTCTATCTATTCATAAATTCTTATTATTTAATTGGTAAACGAAATTTTTGGCTTATTTTTATCAATTTTCTCTTATTTTGAAAAATTGGCATATTTTTATAAAACTCACTTCTTTAGACGAATTGATTGTTGAGGATTTACTCACCTGTAACAAAAAAATGAAATTAATTATTTGTTTGGAATTAAAAAAATTACGACTTAATTTAAATAAAAAAAAAAAATTTACTAAAGCTTCGAATGTTCAAATGAGTGACAATTTTTCTACTTATTTGGAATTTAACAGAAAATGTTTCTTTTCCTTATTGTAAAAGTTAATTTTTAACTAACTAAATTTATAATTTGGGTTGAATACTTAAAACTTTAAGGAAATAAAAAAAATTTTGTACACTTTGATTTTGTTTAAAAATTGTTTTCTATAACTAAAAATAAGTTTATGTTTACTATTTTTCATTAAAAATTTAACTAAAAAGTGAATTTTTGTTTCTCTTAATCGTGGAGAGAAAAGGAAAAATATATAAGAAGTAGAAGTAAAATGAATATAAATAAATAATAGATACCTAATAACAACAATTTCCACTAATTTTTAGAAAAATTATACAATATTGTATTTAGTAGTTTTCAATTTATTTACTTTTTTATTTTTCCTTTCTCATTTTATTTTATTTACTACTTTCTTTATTGCCTCCTCATAGAGGAAGGATTGAATTTATTAATTATCATTTTCTTTTAATTTTTATTTATCAAAATAATTAAATCCAAACTGTAATTTATAATTAAAAAAAAACTTCAAAAATAATGTTGCATATTTATCAAATTAATGACCCAATAACCAAAACTTCATTGACAGTATATTAAATCCAAATGGCAAATTTCCTCCAGTGTAATATTTGCGTAAATTTCAATTACAATCTCGGATAATACAATAAATATAAATATAAACTCCATAAATGTCGCTCTTGTCATTTTAACGGGCTAATTTTAATAAAACACGACGCAGATAACTGATAATATATAAACACGATACGATATTGCATATTAAACCATATAAATTCATCGAGAGAAATTGTATCAATTTTTAGAAAACCAGATTTCCACGCAAATCTAAATTCTATCAAAAATATTTCTGCAAATATCCGATTGCTTTTTAACTATATATCTATAAAAAAAAAACTCTTCGCACACACGGTGCAGGATTATTTTTCCCCTACAAAAGTACCTGCAAAACGTGCGAACAGACACAAAGATAAAAAAAGGAAGAAAAAAGCAAAAAAAAAAGTCAAACTGATAAAACGGAAGCAAAATTTTCGTTGGACACACTCTTCCTTCATTTGTATATATATAGGAGGTCGCGCACAATCGACGGATGGTGCGTTCGAAAACTATACAAAACCAAACTAATTAAAAGGGAATCAAGCGTCGCTTGCTGTGTTATACAGATCAGGCGAGTGAGGGCTTGCTTGTTTCCGCATGGATGGGCAAATCAAATATTAATCGTGCAATTAGCGCCAATTGTACTTTAATCGGTTTTGTTTTTTCAGTTTGAAAATGAATGGTCGACGGATGGTGTGACAAGAATTTCTAGGGGGGGGGGGGGGTGGGAGTTATAACGTCGACACGCGCCACCATCCGTTTCGTTTGTCATCAGTCACTAAACTCTGTGACTTGTGGTCTAATTAATTTTTAATTAAATGAGAAAAAAAATTTTCATTCTACGCTTTCTTTATCGTATATACATATATATTAACATTTGGAAAAAAAACCTGACTAATATTCAGTAACAGGGTTGCCACAAAAATTTAATTTCGTTTTCCCCTGAATTTTCCCTGATTTCCAGACAAAATTTTGAATTTTTCCCTGGCCCTAAAGAATATTCTGACTCACTCTAAAAATGATTAGATTAATTGTAAAATTATTCGAAAACACCAATAACTTCATTTTTAAATAAATATTTAATCATTATTATTTTTTCATAGGAATTATGATTTTCAAAAATTTCAAATTTAATAACTGATAAAAATATTATTGTAAAACATAAAGAAATGGATCACTCCGAGTCTTCGACTCGGAGTGATCGATTTCTTCATGTGTTATAGTAATTAACAATGATCGAGTGATAAAATCATTATTTTAAGGGGCACACCTAGTGTGAGCGCCTAAAAAAACGGTGATTTTTAGGAATTTTTTTTGAAGAATGTATTGCGTCAAATGTTTTCAATTTTTTTTACCTTTATTTGTCTATAAATCAGTTCTTAATTTTTTATTTTTGTAAAGAAAAATACATATTTTTTTAAAAGTTATGTCCTATCTCGCAAGTGTAAAAAAAAAGTTGTCCCACTGCTGCAGTGATTGCGGCCTTCTGAGTGACTGAAATCAAAAAAACCAAAAAGATTATTAAACTAGAAGACATTTGCCGTACTATGACCCTCGGATGGAAAAAAATATTGAATTTCAAAAAAATGGCGGAGTTTTGAAAAAAAAATTATAAATTTCGACTAAAAAATTCGATAGTTTTTAGCATCCCAAAATTTTATTTTTCATCCAAAAAAAAAAACTGGAGCCTCATAGTACGGCAAATATCTTCTAGTTTAATAATCTTTTTGGTTTTTTTTATTTCAGTCACTCAGAAGGCCGCAATAACTGCAGCAGTGGAGAAACTGGTTTTTTTTATATAGCGAATAACTCTTTAGAAAAAAGATATTTTTCTTTGCAAAAATTACAAAATGTTCACTATTTATACAAATATACATGTACAAAACTTTAAAAAAAATTAGATGCAATAATTTCCTTGAAAAAAATTCCTAAAAATCGACGTTTTTTTCAGTCACTCACACTAGGTGTACCCCTTAATTTATTATTAAATATCAAATTTTTTTTTATTAAATTAAATTAAATTTATTATAAGAATATTATTAATGTAATTATACTTCAAAATTATTTTCATAATTTAATTCAATAATTATTTTCTACAATTTTTAAAAAAAATTCTTCTTTAAATCAATTATTTTTTAATAATTTTTGAAAAAGTTCTTTTTAAGAATTTTCAAATCCATTTGTTTGCAATTCAGTTTTACGTGAAATTTCGATTATTCGGAAATTCTTCAATTAAATATACATTAAAAAATACAAATTAAAATAATTTAAAAAAATTGCGATTAAGCTTTTTGAAGAAAATTAGTTTCTTAGAATTTTTAATATTAACTGTATGAAAAATTCAGATTTTCAAAGTTTTGAATTTAAAACCTTTTAAATTTTATTAGAATTAAATATTAGAATTAAATTTTCTTAGAAAATTCTACGATAATTAAATTATTTGAAAACAAACATGGATAATTTATTGAATAATTGAATGTTTCTTAAAATTGAAATCTTATACATAATCTTTGCAACAAATTTTTGAATAATTGAATTTTTTATTTATGAAAATAATCGAATTACTGCGAAGAATTTTATGCCAAATTTAAAAACATTTGATTTTTTCGAAAAAATGTATGCAAATTCTATTTTAAATAATTGATTTCCTGTGGAATTTTATTTTTTTTCAAAAATTATTGAATCTTCGTGTAGAATTTTATGAAAATTTTTGTTTAATAATTGAATTATTTTGGGAAATTTTAATAAAATTGCAGAATATTGAAAATTAGTGCATTAGGAAAAATTTTTTGAAAATAATTTAATTTTTTACTTTTGAAAATAATTGAATTCTTGTGATGAATATTGTTATTTATGAAAACAATTCAATTTTATTAAAATTCCTGAATAAAACTGAATTTTCTCGAAGAATTTTGATATTTATTTATAAGGATAATTAAAATGTTGACAATTTTTTATAGATTTTTTGAAAATAATTGAATTTTAATGAATTTTAATAATTTTGAAAATAATTGAATTCTTGTGATGAATATTGTTATTTATGAAAATAATTGAATTTTCGAATGAATTTTATACGAATTTCTGAATATAATTGAATTTCAGCGAAGAATTTTATGCCAAATTTTACATTTGATTTTTTCCAAAAAATTTATGCAAATTCTATTTTAAATAATTGATTTCCTGTGAAATTTTTATTTTTGTTCGACAATTATTGAATCCTCGTGTAGAATTTTATAAAATTTTTTGTTTATTAATTGAATTGTTTTGGGAAATTTTAATAAAATAGAAGAATAATGAAAATCATTGAATTAAGAAAAATTTTTGAAAATAATTGACATTTTGCCATGAATTTTATTAAAGTTTTTGAAAATAATTGAATTTTCTACTTTTGAAAATAATTTAATTCTTATGATGAATACTATTTTTATTTATGAAAATAATTAAATTTTACAATGTATTTTATTAAAATTCCTGGAAATAATTGAATTTTCTCGAAGAATTTTGATATTCATTTATAAAGATAATTGAAATGTTGACAATTTTTTATAGATTTTTTGAAAATAATTGAATTTTCGAATGAATTTTATACGAATTCCTGAATATAATTCAATTTCAGCGAAGAATTTTATGCCAAATTTTACAATATTTGATTTTTTCGAAAAAAATTATGCAAATTCTGTTTTAAATAATTGATTTCCTGTGGAATTTTATTTTTTTTCGAAAATTATTGAATTTTCGTGTAGAATTTTGTGAAAATTTTTGTTTAATAATAATTGAATTGTTTTGGGAAATTTTACTAAAATTGCAGAATATTGAAAATCATTGGATTAAGAAAAATTTTTTGAAAATATTTGATTTTTTGCCATGAATTTTATTAACATTTTTAAAAATAATTAAATTTTCTACTTTTAAAAATAATTGAATTCTTGTGATGAATATTGTTATTTATGAAAACAATTGAATTTTATAATGAATTTTATTAAAATTCCTGAATAAATTATAAAACTGAATTTTCTCGAAGAATTTTGATATTCTTCTTGGATTATATTAATACCCCAAAGATTTTCTGTGATATTGTATAATAAACATAGAAGCAGATGAATGAAAATGCATTTAATGTTTTCTTTTTCTTTTTTGGTAGAAAATTAAGAAAAGAAAATGGGAACTAGGGCAGTGGCGGTTGGTGGATCAACAGGAGCTGTTGTTACCGGAGAGGCTGGACTCGCTGGGGTTCCAAGACTTTTAGAAGATTTAGCCAGGCTTTCAGAGGACAAAGAATCCGCTGATATTGTCTTTCTTCTAGGAAGGGACGAAACTCCCGTTTATGCCCATAGAATTATTCTTCAAGCAAGGTTAGTGATTCGAATGAAAAATTCTATAATATATATTTAATTGATACGGGGAAAAAAATATATATAAATTCCTTCGCGTGCAATTAATCCTCTTGAAAAATTCTAATGCAGAAGTAATAAATTATTGTTTTAAGGAAGAATTCGAGAGAAGCAATTGAAATATAAATTAGTTCAACTCCAGTTTCGTATTTTTAATTAAAAATACCTTCTCATTTCATTTGTGACGAGAATCGAAAAATAATGACAACATTCAAACAAATAAAGACCAATTTTCATTTAAAATTCATTTGGATAAAAAATGTGTATACAATTTAATTTACACTTCTACTAGAAAACACAATTTTTTTGTTATTTACACTCTAAATATGAGTTAGTATAGAAAATTACTAAAAAAATAATAAAAAATCGTCGACAAACTAATTAAATTAATTAATTAATAATAATTAGTAAATTTGTTTTGTTTAAAGTCACGATAAAATAATTTAATTATTAAATTCAGTTATTGAATTCACTAACGCATTTAGTGATATAGATGACTAGCAAATAATGGAATTTTACTATTTTTTTTACAATTTTTAACTAAACTTCTTCTTTAAATCAATTATTTTTGATAATTTTCAGCAAATTTCTTCTAGAATTAAATTATTTAAATAAAAAAATTTAAATTTTTTAAAAATAATTACAACTGTAATTCTATAGTAATTCCCATAAAGAATTTTATTTATGAAAATAATTTAATTCCGGAGAAAAATATTATTCTTTATGAAAATAATTAATTTCTTGTGAAAAATTTTATTTTATCTTTTTTTAAATAATTGAATTTCTTAGAATTTTTTAAAACTTTTAGAATAATAATTGAATTCCATCGAGAAATTTCATTGAAAAATTGAAAATAATGGAAATCTGACGAAGAAATTTATTAATATTTCTTAAATAACTAAATGGCTTCAAAGAATTTTATTTTTTACGAAAGATAATTGAATTGTTTCGAAGATTTTTACAAACATTTTTGACAATAATTGTATTCCCAGGAAGAATGTTATATTTTACGATAATAATTGTATTCTATGATGAATTTTATTATAATTTAAAAAATTTTAAAGCATTTCAGGTATGCATATTTTTTTAAAATAATTGAATTCATGAGAAAAATTTTATTATTTATGAAAGTAATTGATTTCTTGCAAAGAATTTGATTCAAATTTTTTTTAAATAATTGAATTCCCATAAATAAATGTATTATTTGTGAAAATAATTGAATTCTTAAGAAGAAATGTATTGAAAATGTGACGCGTTCCCAAGAAAGGTACCTAAGAAGGAAAAAATTTGAGGTTATGTTTTAAATTTTTTAGTAAAAATACAGAAAGAGAATCAATTAATAATTAAAAATTGTTGGTCTTCAAGTCCTTATTATATTTAAAATATTTAATGAATATTGGTTTCAAATTCAAATAATTAAAAATTAACTTTTAATCAAGATAAATCTAACTCGAACCCAACCTATAATTCGTTTGCTTCTTAGGTACCTTTCTTGGGGTCGCGTCACAAATAATTGTGACATTTATTAAATAATAGAATTAAACTATTTGAGGTTTGCTAATTGTTAGTAAAATTCTACAAAATCAAATATCAAAAATTCTACTAAAAATTTGTAAAATTTTACTAATTGCTAGTAAAATTTATTACTAAATAATTTGAGGGACGATTTTTCATCTTTTCGTTAGTAACTTTCTACTGATTCAGATAAAATTTCGTGACCGAGACTAAATATGTCTCGGATATTCATTAAATAAATAAATATGGAAGTTTTTCAAACTTATTTCTTTACAATCGGCACGAAACTAAATTCAATTATTAAATTTTCATCACTTTATTTTCGGATCAAGACTAAAAAAAAATTAAAACTAAAATATTAAATTTTACTCTTCTTTCAAGCATCGGTCTCTGTTAATTATAAAACCTAAAAAGAAAATTAATGCACAGAATAAAAAAAAATCATATTATTGAATATAGAAGCTCTTCAATATCTATATGTATATATAAGAAAATGACGAAAAAATCTTGAGAAAATCTCAAGGCAGAAATGAATTTTAATTAAGCAAAGGATTGTTAAGAAGAAACGAAAATCAATCGAGAGTTCTAATTAGTCGGGGGATAATCCCGTGAAGCCTTGCAGTTTTCTCTCCTTTGAATCGAAAGAATTCTAATTATTAAAAAGAAGATTCGATGATACTTAAGAATGTTAGCCGGAGAGAGATTGGCAAGGAACTGGAAACACGAGAGAAAGAGAGAGAAGGGGGTGTCACTCCCCTGACTAATTGTAAAGTCAATTATAAAATCCACGTTCGTTCAATGCTGACAATATACCCTCCCGATAAGTTTTTAGTGAATAGAACCTTTTATAACTTTCGGGAATTTATTTATCCCTTTTTTTCGATTGGATTTCTCGCACACTTTTCCCACTTTTTCCCTTTTATACACCGCATATCTGATGTGCACATCTCTTTTTCATTTCGCACAGTGTTGTCACCCTCTCGCACACTGGTTTGTAGTCGAATATTGGGAAATTAAGTTACGCATGCCCATGACAGCTTGAACAATGCGAGACTCTGTATACAATGAAAATTCAGTTCCAATACCCGTTTCTCTCTCTTTCTCCCTCTTTCTCTCTCTCTCACTCTCTCTCTCACTCTCTCTTTCTCTTTCTCTTTGACAAAGTGACGACGAAATGGAATTGAATCAATAAAGAGTGAAATTCACTCACAGAGTCGCGAATGACATACACAAATCGCCTTCAGTTTGGATTTCGATTTACTCGAGTACGGTCAATGGTACTTGGAGGAAAACTGATAGGATTATTGTTTAGTTTCGCGCCAGAGAAGAGCGCGCGGAAATTGGAATCTCCAAAGTGGTCTGTTGAGATGATGGAAGTATAAACTGAAGCGAAGAAAGTAAACTTTCAAAACAAATTGAACAAAAGATTCATTCCTATACTAAAAAGAGGTGCACACAGAGCAGCAGCAGCAGCACATTTTTTTATTTCCCTAGATTCATTCGCTCTCAAACTAGTAAAACTTTTCAACTTCTTTCATTAAAATTGTAAAACGATCTCTATTATTCGCGCTATATTCATTTCTCAAATTTATTAGGTTTCTACTTTCATTGTTTTCTTTGGAGTACATTTTCTGTGGCTTCATTGTTTCTGATAATTTCAAAATTCAATTTATCAAAATTGTTGGAAATTTTCAGAGCACAGTATATCGAATAAATTATTGATAAAATATTCTTGTATTACAAGAAATTTTAATAACTTTGCTTATAATAAATTTGTCAAATATATGTACAATAAAAATAAAATTTTTTCTATTAAAATAAAAAACGCTTCTTAAATAAAGGAATATTCTTAATAATAGAGGATTCCAGGGATTGCAACAAAAATTTTATTTTATCTTTCCCTGACTTTTCACTGATTTCCAGACAAAATTTTGACTTTTTCTCTAAACAAGAATATTCTACGATTCACTCTAAAAATGATAAGAAACTCAAAAGAATCTTCTATTACATTTATTTGCGAATTTCCTTAATTGTAAAATTATGTTGAGAATTTTCAAATTCATTTGTTTACAAATCAATTTTACGTTAAATTTCGATTATTCGGAAATTCTTCAATTAAATATACCTACATTTTAAAATAAAAACTTGAAATCATTTTTAAAAATTTCGATTAAGCTTTTTGAAAAAAATTAGTTCCATCGAATTTTTAATTAAATGTATGAAAATTGCAAATTTTCAAAGATTTTAATTTGAAACTTTTACAAAGTTCAATTATTTCTAAAAATTGCAATTATTAGTAACTTTTCCAAAATTCAATTATCAGGATTCCTACAGAAATCCGAATTTAAAATTCCATACCTTTTCGATGATTTCCAGGTCAAATTTTTACGAAATTCCAGTGGAATATTAAATCTAATTTCAATATTTTTGGGCTCTTTAAAAACACTTTACTTATTTAATAGTCTCCACCCTTTGGTAAAAATTCTAAAATTATCAAAATTTATCAAAAATTCGAAAAACCGATTTTTTAAAATTTTAAAGTTTTTCTTCTCTTTGATAGTATTTAGCTTCATTATTTTTGGGCTCTTGGAAAATACTTTACTTATTAAATAGTCTCGAATCTTTGGTAAAAAATCTAAAATTATCAAAAATTCGAAAAAATTCAAAAAACCGAATTTCTTAAAGTTCAACATTTTTTCCTCTCTTTAATGGGATTTAGCTTCATTATTTTTGTGCTTTTGAAAAATAGTTTAGGGGTCGTCCATATACCACGTGGACACTTTTTAGACACTTTTTGACCCCCCCTCCCCCCCTCGTGGACAATCGTGGATTTTTGACGAACCCCTCCCTCCCCCCTGATTGTCCACGTGGACAATCGGGTATTTTATTTTAAAATAGTGAATAATAAAAAGATATTTAATAAGAAATACAATTAAAAAATTCTTAAAATTTTTTTATAACAATTTTCTTTAAAATTCAATAAAGATTAAATTATCTTAAAATATTATTAAATAGGTAAATACCATTTTTAGTATTATAGAGAGGACTTTGGCAGCAATATATCTTCAATTATTATATTAGTAGAAATACTTAATCTCTTCTGTAACAAATCTAAAAATTTTTTAAAATCCAATAGCTTTGAGCCTTCACATAAACAATAATAGAAATTATTTTTTTTAGAATTTGTAAGAGTTTGTAGAGGTTGCTTTGTATTCCTAATTGTCAAATTTGCATATATTCATATTTGTGCATTTACGATAATGATTTTGTAATATAAATTAAAAAAGAATTTGGCGTTTTTTTGACAGTTAAATAAATTTCGGATTACAAATATTGTCTGATCACAATCTAATAATAATCTAATAATAAAGTTGAATATAAAGAAAAAAAAGATATAAAATTAAACTTTTGTGTCCACGTGGACATTTGTATTGACCCCCCCCCCT